AGAGAGAGAGAGAGCGCTGCTCACTCAAATCTGGGGAGTATGTATCCGCATGCAACTAAGTCGTGGTGTTGATAACGGGAGATGGGGCTCCTGTTGTATATGAACGAAAGGGAGGCTGCCTAACTAATATTCGTCATTGTGGGCATAGACTAGCAGTGGTGCACCTTTCCAGCAATTTTCACGCACCTAATTCTGCAACCGCTTTGTGCGATGCATCCACAAAAGGGTATCCACGCTAAGGCTAGTCATAGTGGGAGTAACTTAGCTAGTAACATAGCGCACTTCGAGAAAATTTTGCTTATGTGGCAAGTAATTAATGAGAGGTGGTAACATAATATGCTACTGTAACATAGCGTTTTTCAAGACAAGATGAGTCTACGAGCTAATAAATGAAGCCATCTATGATACTACTATTATGTTACTTTGCATTATGAAGGTAGTAACTTAGACTAGTGTTATATGCATGACACTAGTCTAAGTTACTCCCCACTATGACCATCCTAAAGCGGGGCAGCGCGAAAGGTGGGAAAAGTGCATGGAGACCATGATGGAGAGCACTACAGGAGCGTGTTTGGTTGGTGAGGTACTATAATGTGTCGGTTTGGACGGCCATGAAGACCATGATGGAGCGTGTGGACCATCCAGATTATTAATCTGTTTTTCAGTGGATTATTACTCTATTTAACTGATCTATTTAAGGCTGCTAAAGTAATTGGTTGGTGAGCGAAAATGCCTAATGGTGACCGAGCTACATGGGGCTCGGTATCTAGGCCGCCTATATGCACTGCGGTCAGCTCACAGACCTCATTAAATGCATGTATTCTGTCAGCCAGTAATAACTATATGGCGTATTCTGAAATATGGTACGGTGTATCGCACATGTCAAGTCCGCACCCAACCCCTTCTAGAGTTCGCGTCGATGTGCTTGCACAACAGCTGTGTCATGTACACTTCGGTGCCACAAGAGTATATACATTCTGAGAACGTGGTCACCCTCCATTATACACTAATCACCTAGGTTCTGCGATTAGCAGTACTTAGTTCTTAAGGAAAACTTTTCACTACAGGTCACCTCAGATTTACCCATGATTGAAAATAATGAACTAACTGCAATTCCATCTTACGATTACATTCGATTTTCATTAGTAAGGCACTAGCCATCATACATTTTGCTCAAATAATACCTAATTGTTCGAAAACATACTAAAACAGCAGATGTCTCAATAGATGTACGTACAAAATAAAAGTGACTTTCTCTTGGTTGACGACTAATCATGAGACTGCCCCAAAGAATCATTCATTACATAAAAACCTTTTGAATCAATTACCCATGGATTCAACAAGAAATGCAAGTGCTGGGAATTAGTGCACCTACAAACAGTTACCACCAAAAAAATTCTATGCAAACAAATTTATTAATTCCACAGACAAAAATCCATGCACAAATGGTATTACTGCACAATATTACAGAATATGGGCATATGTAAGACCAACCGATTGTCGATGAACAAACAAAAGTCAGTGATTCAAACAAACTTACTGATTGGAAAACCAAGGAAACATAAAGAACGAAATCAGACATGCATAAAGTTACTCCCTAATCTAGAACATGAGCAATCAGAAAATCATGATTTTGAACAGATTAATACAATCAAAACAATAACCCAAATAATACTAGCTTACGTCGCTCGTGCAGATCCAACCAAATTGTCACTAAAGATTTACACGGGCTCTGTGGCATCGCTTCGGGCGCTTTTCTTTTTTTTAGGGAACTTCCGGCGCTAGTGATAGTACTACTTTATTATGCTGGAGCACGCCCGCAAGAACGAAGTGTCGCTGCCTTCGCTTTCGCCTCCGGCGAAGGAAGCGATCCACTGTCCCGTGTACAACAGGTAGGTGCAGCGAGAAATAATAGAAATCCAGACGGGAGGGCCGTTTTAGGACCCACTTTAACGATGTACAGAGTATTAAATTCCAATAGCAAACAAGGCCAACGTGCTCACATGTGCCATATTTGAATTACCATGTTCCAGCCATCCAAGCGGCCCACGTACCCGATCCGTATCCTGAGCCAGGCTCATCAACCAGGGAGCAGTATTTCCTGCAGTATTTTCCTACTGGCCCACTAGCGAACGAATCTCCACAACAGCTTTTGCGCTCGGGATACCGAGCTACCTGTGCCCGAGCGCCAAAACGCTGCAGGACGTTTGGCTCCCGGGAGCCATGGAGGCCTTTTTTTGAAAACAAATCAAAATTCAAACTTTTCGGTTTCAAAAAAATCTGAAAAAAAATGTGCAAGTAAACAAGTATGTTATGCCTATGTGTGTAAAATTTCAGAATGGAAAACGTTGAAATGTGACCTGTACAAAAAAGACAAATTCCTGGTCCGGGAGGATGAATAGTATCTTGTGTTAAAAAGCCTCAGATTTGTCTTTTTTGCACAGCCCTCATTTCAACTTATTTTGCCCTGCAAATTTACACACGTGTGTGTTAGGCCTTCATATATATGTGTGTTTTTTTTCAGAATTTTTTGAAATGTAGAAAATATGAAATTCAACAAAATTCAAATTTTCCAAAACCGAGCTCCATGGAGCTCGGCCTCCAAAGACAATGGTGAGCTACTACTATGGGTCTGGTTCGACGGCCATGAAGACCATGATGGAGCGTCTAGACCATCCGGATTACTAATCTGTTTTTCAGTGGATTACTAATCTGTTTAACTATATAATCTATTTAAGGCTGCTAAAGTAATTGGGTGGTGAGCTACTACTATGGGTCTGGTTCGACGGCCATGAAGACCATGATGGAGCGTCTAGACCATCCGGATTACTAATCTGTTTTTCAGTGGATTAATAATCTGTTTAACTATATAATCTATTTAAGGCTGCTAAAGTAATTGGGTGGTGAGCTACTACTATGGGTCTGGTTCGACGGCCATGAAGACCATGATGGAGCGTCTAGACCATCCGGATTACTAATCTGTTTTTCAGTGGATTACTAATCTGTTTAACTATATAATCTATTTAAGGCTGCTAAAGTAATTGGGTGGTGAGGTATTACTATGGGTCTGGTTCGACGGCCATGAAGACCATGATGGAGCGTGTGGACCATCCGGATTACTAATCTGTTTTTTAGTGGATTACTAATCTGTTTAACTAATTTACTTATCCCCAACTGTTTGCATCTAGAACCGCTCCAGAGAGGCGATACAGGAGGCGAGGCTCCTGCTTTCCTCTACATCGCCGGCGACCCTGGGTCCTTGTCCGTCTCCGTCTGCCGCTCCAGCGGCGGGAGCGGGCTGGGACCCTGGTTGTTTCTGTCTGGTAGGGATATAGGATTTGTTTTCAGAGGTGCTGCATCAAAGGTGTGGACAGTGCCGCGTCAAAATTATTTGCTTCTGCTCTTCCTCCATCTCGGTGGCTCTCTAATAGGCAGCGCTGGGGAGCAGGTGGCTTGGTCTTCTTGCCGGTCTTCATATCCGGTAAGATTTGTGTCTGATGGTTGGCGCTTCACACTCTCTCGGGTGGCATTGGTGCCGGCTGTTGCGGTTGTGTTTGGTGTCTCTTAGTGGGGTGCATGGATGGCGGAATGCAGCGGCGTTCATCTTCTTCGACCTAGTCGAATGAAGTTGATGACGCTGGGATCTAGCAGACACGGGGAAGAACCCCGGCCGACGTGCCACAAAGTTTCGGTCTCGTCGCTTGCGGCGGTCTGGTTCATCGGCTCAAGAAGCATCGTTGTATGCAAATGTGCTCCTCTAGATCTTGGTATGAAGGTGGTTCCCCTCTTTCTTCAACGTTGCCTCAGCGGCGGAGGAGGACGATGGTGGGCGACGTTTGGACGTGGCACAAGATTCTGCCGAAGTGAAATTCTAGTTTCACTTCTTGTGAAGTCTTTGATGCAATATTGCAAGACATCTATATATGTCTTCTATGTTGACCACATGTGTACTCTTTGTAATACGTTTGTCTAATGAAATATATGTGGTTATTTCTCAAAAAACGAAAGACTAGTTAAGGCTGCTAAAGTAATTGTTAGGTGCATTAGTAACTGCTCCCTCCATTTCAAAATTATTGTCGTGATTTTAGTTTTAGTTTTTTAGGGTATCTAGTTAAAACGTTTTGAAATGGAGGGAGTAGTTAACTAGTGCCAGACCACGTCACTAAACCCAAGACGACAAAGAAGAGCGTGTGCCATGGATTAGCTAATACAATGAGTAATTAGGCAGACAACTATAGTACTGATGAAATGAAATGTTATTACTCCCTCTGTCTCATAATATAAGATGTTATTAATTATAATCTACTCTGTAGTGTAGTGCAAATACACTCTTATATTATGGGGAAGAGGTGTACATATGAGTATATTGGCTATATATAATAACATCTTATATTATAGGACGAAGGGAGTAGCTTCGGCATGCACGAACTAAGGCAAAAAAAACCCAACAAAGCTAGTCAATGGTGTGCGGGCAGGAAGGTAGGCCAAGAACGGTAAAGAATTTAACAGTCGGCATGAAGTTGCCCATTGGTACGGTGCCTAATCTTTGAAGGTATCTCTAGGCCCCTCCCTACTCTTTGCGTTGACATCATCGAAATTAGGACAAGAGAATTCCAGCACAAAGCAGAAAAGCGAGAAAATTGCACCATCCGAAGATGCCAGGAGAGAGCGGAAGCGCGTGTGCTTGGTCATCTTAGTATGATTTGGTTACGTTCATGAAGATAAAATATACTCTAACACAGGACCATGCAGCTGGTCATCGAGTGTGTACCATCCAGATTACTACTAATCTGCTAAAGCAACTTTTGTAGGACTGTTTGCATTAGCAGCTAGTTAAGTAGTGCCAAACCGCGTCACTAATTCGACACAACGAAGACGAGCCCATGCCATGCCAACTAATATTCTCTCCACCCCCTATTACATGGCGTCGTTTGTTTTTACGTGATTTAACCAGAGTAAATTGCATAAAATCATCACTTTGAGGGTTAGTTTTGTTAAAGACACTAGAATACATTTTCTCTGTAGAAAACACCACATCTTACGTAATTGTTTTGCAAAAATCACTGATCGGCGGATTTGGCTCGGTTAAGCGTATTTATGACAGATGGGGCCCTTTTTGCCTATGTGGCGTAACATTTCATGCCAGGTCAAATTTTAATATAATTTTACAAAGTAGTCCATAGATTTTACATAGACACCCCTAAATCAAAAAGAAAAAATGCAATCAGCCCACGTGCATCCTCGCCACTGGTTGGGGCAATCAACGCAGCTGGGCGCCTACTCGCGCAGGAGGCCAAATCGGGGGGAGGGGGCGGCACCCCTCGCCGGATCTGGCAGCCGGAGTTAGGCGGCTCCTCGCGCTGGAGGCCAAATCGTGGCCGCGGCGAGGCATCTCTTGCCGGATCCGGCAGCCTGCGCTGGGCTTCCTCGCGCGGGAGGCCAAATCAGGGCGGCGGCGCGGCATCCCTCGCCAGATCCAAACAAGGTGGCGGCGCTGGGGGCCAAGCACCGGAGCAACTTGGTACTGCTAGGCCCGGTACCAGAGATCCCCCTTCCTCTGTGAAATCGATGTCGGGGAAGGTGTTCTGCGAGGAGCCCGAGATACTGGCGAAGATCCTGGCGATGAATGGCGTCTTGGAGTGCTCCGTCTCCTTGTCAACCATCCCCGGCCACTCTGCCTCCTGAAGCAGGGGGTGGCTGAAGTTGCTGACCTGCGGCTCCTTCTCGAGCACCCGGTCGATCTCGTTGCCCTCGCCATCGAGTTCGAGGAATGTTGTTGTGGGCATGCGTTGTGGGTGTTCGGCTTCAAGTCCAAGAACTGGGCCTTGACGCACCCTCCTCCGCAGTTCGCCGGCTTCGTCTGCTCCGGCGAGCTACTACTTGCGGCAGCGTGCGGGATCCTCTCCTCCGGCGGCTGCTGGAGCGAGGCTGACGAAGTCCAGGTAGACGGGGGAAGGGCCTGGGTGGTACGGGGAAAGAATGTTGGGGGGCGCTTTTGCTTTTTGACCCATCTAGCACTTTTTTTGGCAAAACGTTATGCCACGTCAGCGAAAAACGGGCCCCATCTGTCATAAATGCATTTAACCGAGTCAAATCCGCCGATTAGTGGTTTTTGCTAAACAATTACACAAGATGTGGTGTTTTCTGTAGAGAAACTGTATCCTAGTGTTTTTCGCAAACCTAACCCTTAAAGTGATGGTTTTATGCAATTTACTAATTTAACTATGACAAAAAAATTCACCCATAATATACTAAATATAGTATGTCATAACAATTATCTCGTTGAAAACTAAGTACCGTAAAATATTTGTGCCAAATTGATAGACAAAGTTGAACCTCGATAATTGTTTGGGCCATGTAAAGATTATGGTGGGTTAGCGTGGGCTATAGCGTGCCGGTCCAACTTGGCCCCGGTGTTCAGGCGCGTCTGGGCCTCTCCATATCCGCCTCACATATCTACTGGATATGGTGTTAGGCATAAACCACGACTTGCCGTGGTGACCAGTGTGTGTCTAGGTCTAGGGCAAGTTCGGGCGCCGGTTTGTGCTCATGTCCGTGTCCAGCGAGTGAGTCTAGTTTGAGCCGGTTTGTGGCCAGACTTGTGGTCGTAGGAAGATGGTGCTAGCATGCAGCGAAGCAACCTGCTGTCCAGGTCGTGCGGACGAGCAGGCGTGCTCACGATTGACCGGATAAGGTTGTTAGCTAGGAGTAGGCTAGTTGGTTAGTGAGTGCATGCATCAGCTGGATAGGCAACGTGCATGTAGATAGAGTTAGTTGTGATTAGTGGCCTAGTGCATGGGCTAGTGGGCGTTAGCAGCCGGGAGAGTGGCGGCTGGCTAATGTGTGGGTCAGTCTTGTACTTAGCTCTTGAAGATGGAGAAGATGAATGAGAAAAAGAGAGGCCGTGAGGGCTGAAGGAAACCATGTAGCGCCTGTGATTGTCACCGGGAGAGATAAGGCAAAGCTAATTTTCTCCTTAGTGAATGTGTGCGTGCGTGTGTGTTCTCATGTGTTCTTGAAAGAGACAAAAAGAAAGGATAGAGTTGTGGAGCTCCGAGGAAGAAGAAGCGGTGCTACGATGAGGCGGCGCCAACATATGGGGATTTGCTCGACAAACCCGGTCAATTGGATTGCTCGTGTGGAAACCGGTATGTGCTATTTTACGGTCCTGAAAGTGACCACGAGGGGCGGCTCTCGCTGGTGCGTGCATAAGCGGCGGAGGAATCCAGGGTCGGTGAGGATGCATCGCCAGCACTTGTAGACAGCTGAGGCGCGAGAGAGGGAGGTGGGCTGGGGCGGGAGGCGAAGGAGGATCTCCTGGAGCATGTCGTCGTCTTCGAGCGGGGGAGCGCCGCAGCGGCGGATCATGGCGGCGCCCTCCTGACTGGCTTATGTCGATCTGGGGACGGGATCTCTTCTGTGGATTTGTGGATGCACGTGGCTAAACGATGGCTATTTGAATCGTAATAGGTTTCTGTGCGTGCTATTTCTGGACACCTTTAGCTGGCTAAGCCGATTAAAGGATGGGTCTGTCTAGGATTATATCACATCTAAATGATGTCCACTCTGTTTGTGGTATATTATTTTTGTCTTAGTTTTTTTTTGTTTTTTGTTGCTGCATTATATATTTGTAGGAGGTTAGATGTGACATTATTAAAAAACATCTAGATGTGAATTAGACAAACTGTTAAAAGATATTGCTTGTCCAGGGTAGTCGATTAATCTCCACCACCGATACATCCTAACATTGAAGTGTTCAATCCTTGCCGTTCTTTTTATGTTGTTTTGACATATGAAAGATAGATATATTTCTTTGTTCTGATTTCAATTTCGTCAGGGTATGGTCCATCACGAAACATGGCCTTGATATATTGCTTCTCGCTGCCACCTGCCAGTAACCTTCTGATTTCATATGTACATACTCCCTCCGTCTCAAAATAACTGTCTCATGCTTAGTGTAATTTTGTACTAAAGTTGAACAAAGTTGAGACACTTATTTTGAGATGGAAGAAGTACAATATAATGTTAGTAACCCAGTTGAATTGAATTGAATCTCCAAGGTTATGTTTTTTCATCTTGTTTGTTACAACAATTTTCTCACCAGATAGATGTTAATACTAGTGAAGCTTCTGCAGTCCACCCCGATGAACCTACTTATATACGTATTCGTCAAGTTTCAGGCATAGAGCGACACCTTTTTTTTTTGACCGAAACAGAAGAAGCTCTGCCTTTTCATTATATTAGAGGGAAAAACTGTACAAGACTGCTGGGAGTAGCAGCCGGAGAGCAAATTTAAACATAAGAAGAGAAAGAAGCTGAAGCCAAAGGGCAATCACCTTCACTCCCAAAAGGACTACTCCCTTGCTTCCCGGCTTTGTTCGGTTATCCACACCCTCGCCGGGATCGGGCCGAAACCCCGCTGATCCTCGCCGGGATCCTGGTCTGGCTTCTAACAGCCTTCGTTTAGACCCGGGCGGGATTAAACACCTCCCAAACCGCGTGGAAATCGCCGGGAAGCGACCCACGCGTCCCGACTCGTGGAAGCAAACCCCGTCTCTCGCTCGCTCGAAATGCCACACCCTCTCTCGCCCGATCTCTCTCGTGTCGCGGCGACGCCGACGCCGGCGCCGGAGAAGGAGGGACAGCAGCAGCAGCGCTATTGGAGGAGACTGCGGCGGCGTGCTCCCACCACCCCGCCCTCCTCCCTCTCACCTGTCCAACCGGCGCCGCCGCATCTAGTTGCAGCGGCTCAAGCTCGGCGGCGACACGGATCTAACTGACGGCGGCGACGGCCCTTCTAGATCCGGCGGCAGCGGCCCTCTCCCTCCGACGTCCGTCAGTCCCAAGATCCAAAGGTCCATCTGCTTCCTCCGTCGGTCGTGCAGGTACGGCCCTGCGTTCCAGCTGCAGTTCCGGCGTCTGCAGTGGCGCAGTTCAGCTGCTCCGATTGATCAGCTCGTTGTCTAGGCGCTATTAGCCCCAAAACGATCCATCTACTGATCGTAATTTTATCTACTGATCGTAATTTCATCTGCTGAACTGCAACTGTACAATGTAATTTCTCCTTTGTTTTTTTGAACAAACCACAAGTTTCTTTTTTGGCTTCCAATGAATTGATTGCTACTGATTCCCACTTGTAATTGTCACTGATTGCTCCCACTACTAAACAAGACTTGTATTACTTCTGTTGTGCTGATGTGCCGTTGTATACTGCTGTATACTTAGAAGTGTTTTTGCTGGTGGGTGTAACCGAACAGAGATTAGGTGATCCCTCCGGTGGAATGGTTCCACGTGGGGATTGGGTGGCGACACCAAAACCCTACACGGATTAGATCCCCAAGTGAATATAATCCCCTGGAACCGAACATAGCCTAAGGAGGCTAATCGCATCTCTTGCAAGGAGCAACACAGTAAGGCTAGAGTTCGTCGAAGCTTTGAAAACTCTGTTGTTTCTCTCAATCCAAAGGTTCCAAGCAATGTACACTGCCGCCGTGCAATCGTCCGTAGCATTTCCTTTCTTCTTGAGCGTGCGAACTTTGTTCCACCATGCCGCGATGGAATCCGCTCCCATGGCAGCCTGAGCAGCAGACGGGAAGATGTTGCTGGCCTTGAACCAAACCTCTTTCGCAAAAGGGCAATCAAGGATGAGGTGCTTGGCAGATTCAAGAATCTGGTCACAGCACGAGCAAAGATCATTGTGGGCCCAATTGCGAAGAAGAAGAAGTCTGTCAGCAGTCCATAATCTATTTTGAAGGAGAGTCCAGATAAAGAATTTTATCTACCCCTCCGCTTTGATGTTCCAAACATTCAGAAGATGCGGCTAGGGGATGCGGGTTAGGAACTGAAACTGCAGACTTGGCGGTGTAAATTCCATTAGCAGTTAGATTCCAGCGAATTGAATCCGGGCAAGGCTGAAGGGTGATTCCTTGCAAAGTCCACCATAGGCTGATGAAGGAGTCCATTAAAACCGATGAGCTAATATTCATCAAACCTCTCATCCAAGAGCCATTGGACAACGCATCACGTATAGTCAACTTCTTGGATCTGGCCATTTTGAACAACTCCGGGGCAATCTCCTTGGGAGCAAGACCCTGTAGCCATCTGTGACTCCAAAAATTTATGGTTCGACCATCACCTAAAGAAATGGTTGTACAGGCCGCAAAAAGGTTCATATCGACCTGTTCACAAGGCACCGGAGTCCCCTGCCATGGTCTCTGAACCTCACCCCATTCATACCAAGGCCAGCGAAGGCGGAGAGCACGGCCGAAGGCGTGGATATCCTTGATACCCAGGCCACCCACATTCTTGGGTGCGCAGATCCTTTTCCAATTAATAAGGCATTTTCCACCGTGGGCCTCCTCATCGGCATTCCAAAGGAAATTACGTCTCAACCTGTCAAACTTCTTAGCGATCCGTCCATTCGGTGTGAAGGCAGTGAGGAAGAAGGTGATGGTGGCTGTGAGGACAGAATTGATCAGGTCAAGGCGGCCTGTCCGGTTGAAAAGCTTTCCTTTCCATCTGCTTAACCTCCCAGAGCCCTTGTCAAGGAATGGTTGTAAATCAATCCTTCTCAGCTTTTTGAAGGAGAGGGGGAGCCCAAGATACTTGCACGGAAAAGATCCAACAGAACCACCAAAGCTTGCCAGATACGACTGCACACCATTATGTTGACATCTAATAGGGTAAGCGACACATTTAGCCGGGTTGATTTTGAGGCCAGAGATGGACCCAAAAACTTCTAGAATCTTGAAGATAGCAAGTAGTTGAGAGTGATCCGGCAAGGAAA